AATTGTCCAAATTCGGTCATCAGCCAACCGTTTGAACGTGAAAAAGAAACAAACACACACACATGCAAATTTTCGCATACAGAATAGTAGTACAACTAGTGCCTTTCATTCACTTCGCACCGGATAACATTTTATTCACCATCCAGTGGAATATTCACTAACATTTTTATGTCTTTTAATCTAAACAGTAGTAAATTGGACTAGCATATAGAAAAAATTCATTCCAATATTTTGTTAATTCTCTGTCGAGCTGATTACTTTTTTGATCTATACGATCCAATCCTAGTATCAATATGTAGATTCTAGCTTTGCTGAAAAAAACCAACAAACGCTTATATACAATTATCGACGACACGTTTGGTTCAGTTTGTAATGACGACACTTGCTGTGCCAGCGGTCGCGGGTTCGAGTCCCGCCGGACGACACTCATTTGTTTGATGAGCACGAATGTTTTTACTGCAGTCAAGGGTGTTTATCTTTATATTATGTATGTATTTAAAGTTATATAATATATGTAGTGTATCAACTATCTGGTATCCATAACACAAGCCTTGTAGCTTACCATGGAACTAGATGGTGCTGTGTGTTAATGTCTCAACATATTTATTTATTTTTATTGTATAAATTAAGATTATCAATATTATACTTAATTATAATATTAGTTTATTTACAATCGACCATTCCATATTCTAATTACAAAACTATTATGAAACTTTATCGAACTAATTAAACATAACATACTGCATGTGTTTCGAATTTGTCTAATGAGTTTTATCACTACATATTTATGTGCTTACATATTACATAAGTTTGTATATATTTATCTATAACTAGCATTGCCCGCGGCTCCCCCCGCGTTCAGATGACCAAAAACCAAATTCTCAAGTTTTAAATACATATTAGTATACTCTTACATTGCAGTTTTTGTATTTTTTCTCAGAAATGAGATATTTTCCTGCGGTAGAAAGTATCCTATTGTTATGTTGACCCGGACAACCAGCTATCATCATACCAAATTTCATCAAAATCTGTCCCGTGGTTTTTCCATGAACAGACAGACAGACAGACAAAAATTCTAAAAACTATAGATTCGGCATCTGTATCGATAATAATGTCTATTGCAATAAGATTTTCCAAAAAATATTTAATGTACAGATTCGGCTTATTTAGAATTTTATTATATGTATAGATTATATCACAACATACACTACACAAATTGTTTAATTATTACTATTTTAACGATTTAAATAAAATGCCAAAAAATGAACAGCACGCTTTAATTAGCTCGAATGAAAAAAAACACAAGTCACTAGCCACAGATAATTAATTTTTCTTACATACAAAATTTGACATTGACATTTTAGACAGCATGAATATCCCCATATATGTTCACCTTGTCGATTCAGTTGAGCGTGGAGTAATGAGACGCTCTCATAGGTGATAGGTTACTCTTGGTACTTTTCAAATAGCAGAGTAGACCGTAGCAGCTATCCCCGATTACAATTAATATCAATTGGCCGATTAGACCAAAAATTTTTACCTAATTTCTATTGCTATCTTCCTTTCTCATTCTCCCTATCCCTTTCAACTTAGGTAATAATGTGCAAGATGTTGCTAGGTCAATATACTACGATTATTTATCTTCATCAACCAATTAAAAAAAATTAAAATAAAATTATTCAAAAACAATTAAAATAAATACTTATAAAAATACAAAATATCTAGTTTATTTTACTCCAAATCAACTAAATGAAATGAAAACCGCAGTATAGCTTTTTCTGCGGCATTCAAAATATTGTACTATAACTAAAGGCTGTACTGAAAACTGGCAGCACTTTATCAGCTTAAAAGTGCTAAGTTGTTGAGAGCTTTGTGGTCGAATAACAAGCTTTTGGGAGATTTACAGGTGGAAATACATAAAATAACTCGTTCATGTTAAAATATACTGAAAGCTTGTGTTGAAAATATTGTTAATTTTGAATTTTTAAATGTATTTAACGTGAATAAGTTCTTTGTACAAATTCTCACTTATAAAATTAAGTAAAGAAGGATTGCTTAATTATAAGTAAAGGAGGCTTAGTCCTTAATATTGTAAGTGCAAAAGTGTGTTTATGAATTTGTATTATGATAACTTATCTGTTTGACGCCGAAACGGAAAATCGGATCTATGGGTTTTTTTCCATACACATACTGAACATACGTTTACTTATCTGCATATTATTTATACATATAATAAAATTGTAACTAAACCGAATCTATACATTAGATATTTTTTGGAAAATCTTATTGAAATAAACATTATTATCGATACAGAGCCGAATCTATAGTTTTTAGAATTTTTGTCTGTCTGTCTGTTTGGTACCGCATCACAGAAAAACCACTGGCGGGATTTTGATGTTTGGTATCGTGATAGCTGGTTTTCCGGGTCAACATATAGGATACTTTTTACCGCGGGAAAATATCTCATTTTTGAGAAAAAATACAAAAACTGCTATGTAAGTAATGAATATACTAATTGTAAAACCTAAGAATTTAGTTTTTCGTCATCTGAACACGGGTGGAGCCGCGGGCAATGCTAGTACATATATAAATAGGCAAAGACAAAACCGTTCATTACCATTTTCTCCTATGTTTGTCAGCTGATTTTCACTTTTCTTTACTTTGATTAATAAATGTTGACGAGCTTTAATGTTATCAATATACATTTTTTGGAAATAGTTTTTCTTTATATATGTAGGTAGCAAAATTCTATTCATATTTGATTTCCTCAAACTTTCAATAACGTTTAAGATTGAATTTCAACCGCTAACACTACGTCCTATTGTTGTATGAAGTGTAGGAATCGTGAAACTTTATTGTAAATACTTACTTCGTGTACTGTTCTTTAATAAAATTATATCCTCCTGGTGGACTTCTTAGTATGATTGTGCTGGACACATAATAAAGTGCGTTTGTGCACATATAACATGTTGTGTGACATAACAAGACATCTCTATTTCTTTCACTCCCAAAGTCCGATGATACAATAATTTCGATCGGAGAGAGATCAAGTGCAGGATTGGTAACGTGATCTGGAAAACACTCGATCACCGCTGACTTCCTATCTATATTTACCCGACCCGAGATTCAAACCCAGGACCTTCGGATCGGCAACCATACATAAACACCATCAAGATCAAAAAGGTAGTAGCTCTTTAATAAGTATTATAATGGCAAATTATGTTATATGTACAATGTACATATAATAAGTATTTTTGTAAGAATCATGCAAACATCTTGGAAGTAGGCGTTATTGCCTACAACACAGTTTTCAACTAACGTAACCTTTATTGGGTTTGTTCCAATAAATATTTTCATTATTATTATTTATTATTATGTATGTTAGTCTATATTGAAAAATCTGTATTTCAAATGTTAATAGCTCTGAATAAAATTTTATTGAAATTTGTTGTCTTAAAAAATATACAATCTATACAAAATATACAATTATATAATAAAATTCTGAGTCGAATCTGTATATTATTATTTTTTTTTGGAAAATCTTATCGAAATAGTCATTGCTATCGATACAGAGGCTGAATCTATAGTTTTTAGAATTTTTGTCTGTCTGTTTGTCTGTCTGTCTGTCTGGGAATGCATCATGAGAAAACCACTGGACAGATTTTGATGAAATTTGGTATGACGATAGCTGGTTATCCGGGTCAACAGATAGGATACTTTTTACTGCGGGAAAATAACTCTGAGAAATCTATACGAACCATTAAAACGTACTGTGGGACGAACCCGAGCGGAGCGAAGGTGAGTCGTTAGTTTAGTATACATTTTATAACTAATAATGTAAAACTAATATTCTACACTTAAGTTATATTTCAATTATATCTGAATAATGATAAGGTATAAATAAACAATTTCTCCGAAAGATCTAGGATATAATATATTAAATAGAATCGAGATAATAAAACGTGTATCTGAGATAAAATTTAATATTGGGACCTAAATAATCACCTGTATGAAGGATATAAGCCTTCATAGCAAGCGAGAAACGTCCTAGTGACCTCTGACTTATCCAACTTTTTCTAAATATTATATTTTTTCAAAGTCAACATTTTAAGGACGAAAGATGAAGGACGAACGTTTAATACATTTAGTAACAGAGTCTCGTCTTGACTTTTTACATATTATATACATAACCCTAAAAACTGTCTAAAAAATCCTAAAAAAAATTACCTTATGGCATAAGCACTTTCACGTTGTTAAAAAGATAATAGTATTAATATTTTTGTATAGCTTAGAAATATCTATAATATAGGCTCGCGTACGACTGGAGTTGTTTTGTCGAGTGTCTGCATTCCACCCTCATTAAAACTTGCTTTACATGAAATTTGAGTTTCCGTTCTGTTCTCTTATAAGTATCTCATTATTTGCCCTTTTATGAAACTTAGACGTGAAATGTTTATTTACACTTAGCGAAATATTACTTTGTAAGTTTAAACGTATTGAAGTTAGCAATTTAGAAGTACCTTGATTATAATTTCAAACAATGCTGCAAAAAGCGTTCAGAGTGAATATTAAGGAGGATTCAGGGAAAGTTACATTCGTGCTCATCACACAAATGAATGCCCCCAGCGGGACTCGAACCCGTGACCGCTGGCACAGCAAGTAGGGTAACTACAAACTGAGCCAAACGTGTTGTCAAAAAAACGTGTCGTTAAAATAATCGTTAGAAAAAACTATTTAGTATCAAAATAAAACGAAAACTACTCATAAAATATTATTTTATCAGAAAATATTTCTTTGTATGGTATAATTTGCAAATTCAGCCAGAGGGTCAAAAATTTTAAATTTGAAAAAGACATTTTATAAGTTCCAGGAGATATTATAATAACAGATGTAAATAAGAAAGTCTAAATATTATAAAAGTTATATTTTTACCCTATTTATATCGTTACCTTTTACTATTATAAATAATTTTTCAACTTAATTATATATTTTGTTAACAGATGGCGCTTTGCGGGGGGAGGTAGACCTGCGCGGGCGCGGTACGGAGCCAGCGTTACTCCACGAACTACATTCAACGCTGCCACCTGCCGCGCCTGAAACCTGGCATACCATCTCTCTTATTCTTAAAGGACTCATCTTCATCACAATCATTCTTGGAGCCCTCCTTGGAAATGCTCTTGTTATCATATCTGTCCATCGTCATCGAAAACTTCGAGTTATCACCAACTATTATGTCGTCAGCCTTGCCGTCGCTGATATACTGGTCGCATTATGCGCGATGACGTTTAACGCAACAGCTGAGCTAACTGACACTTGGCTTTTTGGGCCTATCGTCTGTGATATTTTCAATTCACTCGATGTTTATTTCTCTAGCGCCTCAATTCTTCACTTATGTTGCATATCTGTTGATAGATACTATGCTATAGTTCGACCGTTGGAATATCCTGTCACAATGACACACAAAACAGTATGTTTCATGCTTGCGAACGTTTGGCTTTGGCCAGCCTTTATTAGTTTCGTACCAATTTTCATGGGATGGTACACTACGGAACAACATCGACAAGAGAGAAGATCTCATCCTGATATTTGTATATTTAAAGTCAATATGGTTTATGCTATAATATCATCTAGCGTTTCCTTCTGGATACCAAGTGTTGTGATGATATCAATGTATTGTAAGATATTTAGAGAGGCGATAAGGCAGAGAGAAGCATTGACAAGGACATCATCAAATATTTTGCTCAATTCTGTCCATATAAAACACACGTCGCACAGTGCACACCATTCACATTACTTACATCCTGATAGAAGGCCATCAGATATTAGTCCTAACTACAGTACGTTCACTGAAGTTGGTCCAGAAGAACCAGAGTCAGGTGGGGAAGTTGTGATGGCTTTAGGAGATATTTGCCCAAGTAAAGAAGCCAGCCCTAGAAAGTCTGTAAATATCAGCTGTGACACAGCAAGTTCTGGATACTGTTCAGGAGGTTCTAACAAGAGGTCTTCAAGTGGACAGCCACCATCTGGGTGGAGACCCAGTTGTACATCAGCTGTTGCTACGAGAGAGTATGCTAAAGCTGCTACCGAACTTAATTCTCAAGGTAAAAGTTATATTAAATAGTAGGTTATTCACAATAATTATAATCCATACAAATAATTTAACTGTGAAAGTATGTTTGTTTGTCATTCTTTCACATCGAAGCAGAGTAACGTATTGGCGTGATTTTTTTGTGCAAATAGTTGGAGGACTAGACAGCGACATAGGCTATTTTTTACTGCGGGAGATTATCTCATTCCTTCGGGAAATCACATTATAATACAACCCAAAAAATATTTATGATCAGAATTATTTGAAACTTAGCATTAATTCTCTTCAATATAATTAAATAAATACATGTTTTAGCATTTTTTGAAATTCGTATAAGGGGGTAAAATAGGAGATGAAAGTTTGTATGAAACCTACCTTTTATGTTTTTTATATAGTTTTAGCGCGAGCGAAGCGGTGGGTTCTGCTAGTTATATATATATATGTATGTACACACATTGTAAAATATTAATTTTCAAAAGTATACGATATCATATCCATTTTCAACCAAATAACTATTTGGTTATATATCCTCAGAACTAGTGGTTCTTAAAAGAATTGATGACATTAGAGAAGACTATTTACTAAATTAGGGTATATATTAATTATTAATTATTACTTATTACGATGATTTCTTAACTCAGTATACAAAAAGTTAAAGTCCCGTAAAAATCGCTTCAATCGTTTGGAAGGTTGAACGAGTATGAATAGGCACTGGAACATCATTTTTAAATTCACAAAAAAACTAACTTATACATATTTGTACCCAAAGAAGTAAAGTTATATGACTTAATTTAGCTCATTTCTCCATATTATTTAATTTTTATCTTCTCTTATTACCAAAAAAACAATATAAAAACTAAAACCATTTAAATTAAAACAGTTTCCAAAAACATAATTATCGACTGCGAATTTTTAAAATCTATAAATATAATAAAATTCTAACTAAGCTGAATCTGTACTTTAAATACTTTTTTGGAAAATCTTATTGAAATTGACATTATTATCGAAACAGAGACCGAATGTATAGTTTTTCGAATTTTTGTCTGTCTGTCTGTCTGTCTGTCTGCCTGTTACCGCATCACAGAAAAACCACTGGAGAGGTTTTGATGAAATTTGGTATGGTGATAGCTGGTTATGCTGGTCAACATATAGAATACTTTGACCGCGGGAAAATATCTCATCTCGGAGAAATCTATACCAAACTTTAAAACGTAATTAAGGACAAACCCAAGCGGAGCGAGGGTGAGTCGCTAGTATATGTATAATTAAATTTATTTTAACGTTATTTGTATAGCTTAAAAATATAACTTGAACTTGACTTGTCTCATTTCTGAGAAAAAATACAAGAACTGTAATGTAAGAGTATAGTAATATGTAAAACCTAAGAATTTGATTTTTGGTCATCTGAACGCGGGCGGAGCCGCGGGCGATAATAGTGAAAATAAAAACTTTATTCGCTCATAAATGTAGAGCAGTGAGTAATGAAAGATATAAGATAAAAGCGATACATCGTGTGAGGGAATGAATATGGTCAGACATTGTATAATCAGATAAATCTCTTTGAAACTAGTCGGTAATGTGATTGCTATCTGTCGGTAGTTTTAATGATCTTTATGGGTTAATTTAATACATACGTCAAAATTTTGTTTTGTGTGTATGTATTAAACCTTTTTTAACGTCCCACTGCTAGGCGCGGGCCTCCCTTCAGTATGACAGGGATCAGGCCATGGTCTACCACACTACTGTAGTGAACTCGTTGTCTGTCACTATAATTTAATTTATCTTATTAACCTTTCAGAATCACACTGTTGTAAGTTTTTTTTTCGTTGAAATGTATGTAATGTTTAGTGGTAGGTAGCCCAATGGTAACTCGCTTACTTAAGAAACCAAGGTTTTAGGTTTCAAAATGTGGGTTTTCGACCTATGATATTTTCATGTGTGCATCATTTTCAACATGATTATAATTTCTTTTACGGTGAAGGAAAATATCGTGAGAAAACCTGCATATCTTAGAGAATATAGGAAGTTTTCGAAAAACATATGAAGTCCTAAAACCAGCCTGGTGGACTACCTGGTGATCTGGCCTCCCTTGTATTGAAGGGAAGCCCGTACCCAGCAGTAGGACTTTAAAAAAAAGACCGCATACAATACAAATGCCATGCTCTGGTGTTAGTCAAAAATTAAAAGACAATAAACAAACATATCTATTTATAATATAACTAAGGATTGCATTTTTTGAAGACCAAATTTCACACACAACTAACTTAGAAAGTCTATATATAACTGTCAAACTGATTTTATCCAACCAAATGAATCCAAGCGATCCGGTTCCAACAGTCTTTCCTTGGGGATTTCCTTTTTATTTGAAATTAGATTTTATCACCATGAAATAAAGTTTCAAATACTTTTATACTTCTATGTAACTCGAAAGTATTACCAAATATAAAATATTATAGATTTATACAAGATTGCTGCGATGTTTTTTGAAGTGGAAAGTTTTAATTACAAATGTATGAAAGAGTTATATTATATACAAAATCACTGATTTTGTATTGGGGACAATCATGCCTGACATCAACCGCCTGACATGATGACTTCCTTGGGAATGCTATTGTTTATCGCAGAAATCTTGTAATATGCATACATACATATTATTTTCTTTTGAATTTTTTTTATAGTACTACTTAAAGTTTAATATAATCTATAATATAAAAATGAATAGCTGAATGTGTTGCTAAGCGCAAATCTCGAGAGCAGCTGAACCGATTTCGCTAATTCTTTTTTTAAAACATTCCTTGAAGTACGAGGATGGTTCTTACGGAGAGAAAAATTATTAAAAATTGCCTGAAAAAGTTTAAAAACAACACTCTTCTATACTTCCATACAAAAGATTCGTAATAATACTTAAAAGTCAATTTGAACTTTAATACCATACCATAAAGTATAAGTGTTAGTGGAGAGGTTCCAGGAAGGCAAAACAATTGAGTGACGTTAGTATCGTATAAATATTAATGTCAATATTTGTCAATATTATTAACAAAAAAAAAAGGCTAACGCTGGCTAATAACTATTTGCATCTATTTAAAACGTACCTAGCGACGAACCCGAGCGAAGCGAGGGTGAACCGCTTGTTTTCTGATATATTTTAAAATAAATTTTGAAGACACAATAAATTTTGTTTAGACGTCATTTTTTCCTAAAAATGGACAATAATAATAATAGTTACAAATAAAATTCCTTGAAATTCATTAAAAAAAATTAATTATTCTCACATAAAAATATAACAAATTTTCATATATTAATTGTTTTATCATTACCATACCATAAATATAGGGTACCAACAAAGATAAAAGGTGCCTTATAATGATCAAGAGACGTAACTTAACATACATATATTATCGAAATACCAAACTTCTTAATAGCGTGTTCATCAAAGATAGAGATGAATAACATATTATAACTTAATTAAATGTAGTAGATAGGCCTGAAACGCTCTTAGAAATCAAACGAAAAGCTTTTGCTTAATAGGAACTTACTATATGTTAGTATTCTTTGAGAGTACAGTTATTTGGTAAAACACAATTAATATGAGTATCTTACCTGATATTACAGAATAATGGCAGTGCAGGCACTTAAATAGCAAAGTATTGTATACGTAACATATTTTTCGTTTCCTATTTAGAAAAGGAAAGGAATTTTCAATTTAAGCACACAAATATCTGTATTTTTCATATTTGGAAGAAAAGAAAAAGAAAGAAGAAGATTATTATTATACTTGTTTCATTTTCCTGTATGCAATACATGCACTAATAATAAGCTATTATACTCTACATATAGCAAGGTATTTTTTGTTTTAAATAGTGTTCAAACAGAATTTATTATTAATTAGTAATAGTTCTTGCAGTTTAAACCATTAAACTGCAAGACCAAAGTCTAAAAACCGACCAACCAAAGTCTAAAATTAAACATATATTATTCAATAAAACTTATTACACATAACGGAATACTATGCAAATATCAATGTGTGTAAAGCTGATGTCTGGTTGGGTCTCACGTAGGATAAGTAGATAATTATTGTATTGCAATATTGTAAACAAATATTATTTTAAAAGAGCAACTGTTGAGTTTTTCGCTGGCTCTTCTCAGCAGAACTGCCTTTCGACCCAGTGATAGATTACTCACGGACTTACGTTCTGACATTTATTTAAATGTAAAAATGATGAAATGATACATTTAATTTAAATGTAGAAATGATGATGATTCAAAAGTGCTTGTAAAAGTCTATTTGAATAAAGTACATAAATAAATATAAATATGTTGGGACATTACCACACAGCACCATCTAGTTCCATGGTAAGCTACGAGGTCTGTGTTATGGATACCAGATAGTTGATACACTACACATACACGTACAAACTCTAAATATATACATATTATAAATATAAACACCCATGACTAGAGTACAAACATTCGTGCTCATCACACAAATGAATGCCCCCAGCGGGATTCGAACCCGCGACCGCTGGCACAGCAAGTAGGGTCACTACAAACTAAGCCAAACGTGTCGTCGTATATATATAATTTGATTTAACAATATACATATCATATTTAAATGAAAGAAAAAAAAACAATTGTTGAATTCAATCATCTTTAGTAAAATGTAAAACAAAAGAAACAAAACTCATACAAAACAATTTACTCTGCTTATGACAAATGTCAATGACTAACGTAATGAGCTTTTAAGTCTCTGCACCTTTCAATTCCAGTGCCTTCTAATAGCCACTCGCCATAAAAAAGTAGATAGCTTTTGTATAGTTAGAGCTTTAATAGAAATTGTCGCAATAACTTTTAACATTTAACAATATAATACTAGTGGGCCCACGTGGCTGTACTCATTTACTTCATTTATATTTCCGCTTCTTAAAATAGCTTTATATTTTAACAAATTGCTGAAATAACTATTTCTCTTTTTTAATGCTATATTTACGTTTGCGCAGCTAAGTTACCCTACGGGGTATATATGTACATATTTTATATATGGTATATTATATATGGCAGGTGAGTATTTTACTACTGAACTACTTAGAGTAGTAGTGAAGGCAGTGGTAGCCTAGGTGATAACACGCTTGCTTGTGTAAGGAAGCAGGTTCAAATCCCGGGTCTCGCACCTCAGGCATTCTCATGTGCAAATCATATTCAAAATGATTACTACTTGTCTCATGCAGATGAAAAATATCGTGAGGAAACCTGCATGTCTGTTATAACCTAACTAGATTTCGAAGACACAATATTATTAACTCGGCCAACCCGCACTTGGCCAACATGGCATTTTATAGTTCCTTCGCATTGAAGATTGCGATGGAGGTCCGTGCCCGCTGTAGGACATTAAAAACAAAATGAAATAATAGAGAGAAAAAAACATGTATGATGTATATGTTCTACATATATTAAGTATACACTCCTCCCATTTTATCCTCTACAGTGGCATGGAAGAGATCACTCCATTAGCAATAAACCCGCTCATTGTGCTTGAATTTATCAATATGGAAATAGTGATTAATAAAGTATTTTGTACTCTTCATCTGATGAATGAATGGGTTTAGGGTTCTACTTTGAACCCTTTACTTAGGGGTTGATGTAGCACGAACCCACTACAATTTTACTGTATATATGAACGTACACTGTACAGATACATAATATCAAAAGAGAAACTCTATATAAAATATAAATGAAAAAATACCAGCCAATAACCATCGTATAAAATTGCCGCTGCGGAACATCGATATGCAAATTGTTGAGTTGCAATTCTCCAAGCTTCTCTTCAAACTCGACGTATTACATTTTCCGTGCTCTTATTTTCAATGTAGTCTAACTGAGATGGATTTAGTTAAATTACAAATAGAAAGTGGAAAAGTCTTTACGGTTGGATATTTTGTGTTTATTTATGAAATAGTTAAAAACAATAATACATACAATATATGTACGATTGTTTGACTTTCGTAAAGCTCTATTATAGAGGCGTGTATTTATATTAAAGTTTTTTTTTTAACTAGAAGAGTATACAGTGGTTGATCCTACTATGTGTTTTTATTGCAGCAATGGATCGTGGATAATTTCGTCTTAAAAGTCGATATTCCTATAAAGTCATTGATTTCCGCTAAATCTTGGAAATATCCACATTAAAAAACAATTTCTTATGGCAGACTCTGTTTGGTTTATTTTCAATACTTCAAGTTCACTTCATTTTTTTATTTAAATATGTACACTAAGTTCAAAATTACTCAAAAAATTACAGTATTTCTTGAAAAAAATAATTAAAATAGGTTTCAAATTGACAAAAGAACCGCAAACAAACACACCGAAATTAAATAACTGAAGTTGGTACAAAAATAATCAGAAAAACAAAAACATTAGAACTCTCCATAATTATAGTAAAGATATCATGTGCTTCGAGAAGCAACTTTCTATATAATAATAAAACTCCCATTCAATATACAATTAATTATGATACTAATGAATATTTCATTACTTAGGTGCATCGCTTCGAGCCGCTGGCAAGTCATGGCGGGCGGAGCATAAGGCCGCTCGCACACTGGGGATTATTGTTGGCGTATTTTTATTATGCTGGCTACCGTTTTTTCTCTGGTAAGTAAAATATAAAACAGCATTTAAATGGGATTTAACGGAGAGTTAAATGGTAATTATTGATTTAGATTTATAAAGTTTGAATTTTTATTCGTAGTTGATTGGCACATTTAAACTAGCCTCCATATTATGTATATACAAACTATATGTTGTAACTGTGTTTTTTTTATAATTCCTATAAAATACTAGCGACTCACCCTCACTTCGCTCGGGTTCGTCCCTAGTTTGATTCCCCATACATATTTTCATCCCCATTTTCACCTCTTTAAGGGATGATTTCCGGGATAAAAAGTATTCTATGTCCTTCCCAGGGTCTCAAACCATCTTTTTACCAATTTCATCTAAATCGGTTCTGTAGATCTCTAGAGTTTACCCCCTACAAAGTCATAAACTCACAAACTCACAATTCACAAATTTTACCTCTTTATAATATTAGTATAGATTATATTTTACCTTTTTGTCTTGTTCTTTCTAATATAATTTTAATAATTATCTCTTAATTATGATATTTTTTTGATTTAGATATTTTTTTGTCATAGTTCAATCATGAAATATGTAAACATCTGTAATAATTTAAAGAATAAAATTACAACACAGTCACTTGTAGTTCGCTATTTATGAAGTTACCTTTCTAGTAATATTATGCTGAGTCAGATCCTTTTTCTGAAATACACACTAGTGCTCTATAATTACTGTTTGATTAATTACTTTATTTTTCTACATATTTCTGTAATTTTTAAAGTACTTCTTAATTTTATTATTTTTCATTTTTTTTATTTATATAGATACTTTCCAGATATTTTTAAGTTTTATACTATAACACAAGCCTCGTAGCTTACCATGGACCTAGATGGTGCTGTGTGTAATGTCTCAACATATTTATTTTATTTATTTATTTATATTTTTTCTGTTTAATATAATCGTTTACATTTACTGTATTTTTTTATACTTTCACATGTTTAGTAGTACATGCAAGTTTCTTAGTATTTGTTTACTTATCTTTATTTAAAGTTACGCGTTACGTAAAAACGTTATACGTTTTATAATTTATATTATGGTATGACATATACTTTTTTTTTGACGGACCTACTACACGAGTAGCGATGCTGGCAAAAACTAGTATTTAAGATAATTTTAATATGCAGGAAAAAAAAAGCAGACGAAAAAAGTTCAATGAATTGAATAAAAATGGAATATCAAAGTAACGAGTTAAGCTTTTATTACACTTATAACTTTTGTATATTCAATATTGGGTTATTAAATTTTTGCGAAAGAATACGTGAATTTATGATCAAAATTAAAAATCTCAAGACATTCAGTAACAATAGTATAAGCAAAATATGTTACTATAATTACATAAAAATATTTTTCTGTATCTTATGTAGCGCATACTGTGAATAAAATAGATATTTTTTGCCAGTTCAGCGAACGTGTATTTAACGGCAATTAATTAATCAACGGCAGTTGTATACTTTATTAGATCTTAATTATTTTTTATATATTTACGCCAATATTTTGATTACCAGGTACGTGACAACCAACGTCTGTGGTGAACCGTGTCAAACTCCACCTATAGTCGTTGGCGTCCTCTTCTGGATAGGATACTTCAATTCTGCGTTAAATCCGCTAATATATGCGTACTTTAACCGCGATTTTCGAGACGCATTCAAAAATACTCTAATGTGCGCCCTGCCTTGCTGTTTTAGTTGTTGGAAGGATACTGGTACAACATCCTTTGTTTGATAGAATAAGTATATTATAATCGATTTACACGTGGAGTTAATAAGTAGTGCCAAGATTAATTATAATTAAAAAAGCAAAGTTCAGACAAAATTATTTCATAAAAAAAAAAATTTTCGAAAATATCTTGAAGGATTAATTGAAGGATTTTCCGTATTATTTATTATTTGTATAGATATTTTATAGTATGAGATATTTTAGTACGTGACATAGTCTCATTTTAGCTCAGCGTGTACATCTAAAGCTATTTTTTAATGTGTAGACTGTATTTTAAGGAAATATTATTTTCCTAAAAAATAAAATAACTTTAAATGTTTTCGGCATATATTTCACAAAATCGATTAACCTTTCATTTACATAATAATAATTTATATTCTTTGAGATAATTTTGGTTTTTCAAAATTTAGAAATAAGAAGCGTTCCAAGTAGAGTCTGAATTTTTCAGACTATTACTTATAACCTAAAATTACCTAACAACAGTTGCTAATCAAAGCCTAGATTTAATCTAGACTCCGCCTAGGTAATTAGTCCTTAACTACCACAAAACGACTCTCTAAGCGTATGCCGCTAGGGAAGTTGCTTAAGTATGATCGGTTAAAGTATTGAGCAAATTGTGCTATGGACGATTTTATTTGTCTTACTAAATGATTCTATTATAATAATTAGTCTTTCATAGACTTTAACTGTTAAGTGTATTAATTAGTCTTGTATATGAAGTCCTATGAAGATGAAATCAATGGGATCCCTCCCATTCCATTATCATGCCATAATCCATCATTGTGGGCAAGTGCAGGATGACAGGTGTCACATGTCTTTCGAAAATGTGCTATATTCTGATGACATGCAGGTTTCCTCACGACGTTTTCCTTTACCGTAAGGCAATAATGTCGAAAATGATTCCTACATGAGAACATGTTATGACTTAAAACGTGTTTCAACAAGTTTGTGGCATATGCCAAAGTTATCTCAATTGAATAGGAAACATAATAATATGTACTACACAACGAATTTTCCCCAAAACAGATAGCTTTTTGGCTTCAACCGAATATTGAAGTCTCATTCAACACCATCTATGGAAGATAAAATGAAAGCAATAATTTTATGACTAAGTTTTTACCTTTTAACTAATTAAGTAATCATCGCATAAGGCTTGTTGTACATTAAATTATAAATGAAATTATTCATAAATGTAGAAATATAGACAACTAGCGGCTCACCCTCGCTTCGCTCGGGTTCGTCGCTAGGTACGTTTTAAATAGATATAAAAAGAAAAAATCTTTCTTTCTCACATTTTAATTATATGTTTTAATACTTACCTATTCCGGACTAAGAGAAATCCAAAAATTAAAATATCATAAAAATTGGAACGCGGTCGAACGGGATAAAAAGTATCCTATGTCCTTCTCCTGGCTCTAAACTACCTCCCTGCCAATTTTCAGCTAAATCGGTTCAGCCGTTCTTGAGTTATAAGCGAAGTAACTAACACGACTTTCTTTTATATATATAGATTGTAATTTCAAAAGATGTAGTTTATCTAAATTATAAAGCTTGCACCTAGCAAAGTTCCATTAGGGAGAACGAAAAGACACAAATAAAATAATTATACTACGCGGGAATCGAAGCTGCTACGGGTATCATAAACAATGCCAAGTTAGCTAAATATAAAAATAGTGTATAGCAAGCCTTATTCAAACTATATATATATATATATATATATATATATATATATATATATATAAGTAGGTAATATTTGTGGTATATGTATATTGTATATCTATATATACATACATATATATATATATATATATATATATATATATTTATTAATTATAAAATAGTATAATTATATTATAAAGTTGTTAGCATAAAATAAATATATAAGTTAGAAAAAAATCTTTCCTTGTCTTTTTTTTATGTAATATAATTCTGTACAAAGCGCTCTTTAGAGTTATACATTATATATAATATGTTAGCTAAATTAGCATCCATAATCTTGGTAATGAAATAAGGATTTGAAAATTATAATTATCTATTACTATTTTAGTGTAGATAAATTCGAATAAAATACAAACGTATTATATCTTTTTTTTTGTTATTTGCTTATTTTAAATTTTTCTAATGTTAAATGTGCAATAGTTTATAGATTGTAAAATTATTGTGACAAAAATATATCATTTTTTTTATAAATATTCATAAAAATACACTTAAAATGTGTGCTTTTTCCTTATTTTCATTTTTTCTATAATTATTTCTGTATCTTTCTATAATTTTTACGTAAATGGTGTGTTCATTTTAAAAGGCTGATCGGTTGCATAGTCGATAATATTAAAAAGTCGGTGTGCTTTTTCCTTATTTTCATTTTTTCTATAATTATTTCTGTATCTTTCTATAATTTTTACGTAAATGGTGTGTTCATTTTAAAAGGCTGATCGGTTGCATAGTCGATAATATTAAAAAGTCGGTTTATGTTATTATTCTTTCTGTTTATTGTAATAAAATAATTTTTATGATAATATCTTAGAATTAATAAACATGTAAAACAAATGTTAGTCAATTTGGTGAGATGTTACTTTTTATTCAATTCAAATCTTATAATCGAAATTTCTCATTTTAAATAAAATCTTTTTGAATTTTTTAGAGGAATCTTTTGGTTCCCGACGATTCGAATGCTTTACAGCAATCATGGTCATGGGAGAGATTAGCTTAGCTTTTAGATGTCTCAAAGGTAATATATAATATGTAACTGTTATAGACAGTTCGTAGTCAAAAAAACCGTACAATTTTGATAATTAATTCTGATTATTTTTACTAGAGTTTAAAAATTTGAAACACTTTAATTTTAGTTGCTACTTTTTACTATCTGTATACAATTTCATGATAAAAATTCATTCGAAAAGTCGGGAAAAAATCCGAAAAGATAGTTTTATTTAAAACGTCAAATGGCCAAATTTAAGGCGTAATCCTAAGACAAATATTACGTAAACATCTCTCAGTAAAATATAATAATTAGATACCTTTTGCAAACTTTTAAGGAGTGTCACGCAATAGGGACCTAATATATAATTGATTGAAACAATAAAAACAAAGATTTTCTCGAGTGACCGAAGTCAAACCGGAGTTTAACTGTCAGTTAGCATGCGACATGACGTGACTGTGAAAATAACTAATTTTGCTAACAAGATTTTATTATTCAGATTAATCGCTTAGTTAATTAGACAAATAATAATTTTCGTAGGAAACATTTTCGTTTCTAATTTTACGTTAAGATTATAATTGAATTAATGATTTTATTACAGGTTCAATCCATAATGCAATATGGTATTTATTATACGATTTTATATGTATTGTAAATATAAATTACATACAAAATTTATATATATAAGTATCTTTTTTTATATATAAATGGTACATTTTTATTATAATGGCATAAAATAGAAAATATATTTGTGGAGAAAAAAAATTATATTTTTTTGTATCTCCTTCTTAAAAAATATCGCAGTTGCAAAGGATGAAAATTTTTGAGTAATATATTTAAAGTATAATATGTTTGAATTATTTTTTATAGATATTTCATAATCCATCCAGCTCCATCATACCACCTATTGGAAATTGTTCCATAATATATATACTTCAACTAACCTGTAGTTAAATAAAGCTGTACAGGTAAAACTGTGCTCTAGTATAAATGATCTTTAGTAATTTTTTCGCTGACTTCGTATTAATATAAAAATTCTTTTTATTACTTTATGTACTATATAAAGGTAAAAGTCATTAAGTGTACTTTTTCCCTATGATTATGTTACTATCAGTTTAAATTAATTAATTATTATTAATTACTTTATAAAAACATCATCTGACATTACAAATATTTAAGATCATATTTCTATGATTTACTTTTAGTAAAAAGCATTTAATGAAACTTAACTCATACTCATTTATAAGTGATCTAAATATATTTTTTTGCCAAAAGATAATTTCCCATGTGAACTTATATGGGAAAAAAAGTAACAAAGTAGCCTTTTTCAGTTTCCAACTGGGAAATTATCTCTATGAAAAAAATCATGTAGATCTGTTACTGTTATGATGCTTATAAAAAAGTAAACAAACCCTCTAACAAACTTACTTTAACATATAAAAGTTAGTTACATAATATAAATTGTATAAATGTTAACTTAATTAATTACAATGTAGACTTATTGTGATATAGCTATAGAATATGTTTAATTTGAATAAAAACTAAGCCATTTTTAATTAAACTTGTGCGTATAATTTAATTTTTAGATTCATATGATATTTTATGTAGAAATTAGAAAAGTTTATTTGCAAAGGGGGAAAACAAATACGTAATTATTAAGTGTTTTAGATATCAATCGGCTATAGGGAATAAGTTGTAAATACTGGCTTATAGGCTTATAGTATAAATTGAATATGTGATTTAGTATATTTATAACTTAAGAAAACAATACAATTCTATAAGTTTTTTCAACATTGTTTTTTTTAATATATATAATTTACAGAACATCATGCAGCTGTCTATATGCGTTTTAATACTTTTGAATGTTACAAATATTTACCTTCAACAGAAATCGAACCTACTAATACTTTGTTGTAGAATGTGCTGGATTTGGATTTTTTTTTAAATATAGTATAATGAACGAATATATTATTTATAAAGTCGTCATTTTAAAAATATTCACTGAGATACCGTTGAGCAAACACAGTCTCGAGTATCTACAATGGCTCTTACATCTTTTTTAATAACTCAGGTGCTCTTTCAGTTATGAGATGATATCTATTTTGCAATGTAGATAAAAATAACTTAACTAAGTAAGAGATATACTGAAGTCTAATGTTAAAAGAAATACGAACTCGTTCTCTACTTTCATATATTTCTACCAGTTCAAGTCGAATTTCTATACTGGTCAGTATATAAACAAAATATGAGAAGTGTATATACTGACCAGTAGTAACTCACTCGCTTGCGAAACCAAATGAAACGGGTTCAAATCTCGGATCTCGCACGTTTGATATTTTCATTTGTGAATCATTTCAAACATGATTAGCACTTGTCTTAACGGTGAAGGAAAACATCGTGAGGAAACCTGCATGTCTGAGAGAACCTAGCAAGTTTTCAAAAGACATGTGAAGTCCGCCAACGCGCACTTCGCCAGCGTGCGTGCGTGCAGCGTGGTGGACTATGGCGTGATCCCCCTCGATACAATACATACATATTTTGACCACATAGTTGCTTAAATTTGTCTACTTTTTTAGATTTCTATTAGCGAGTTCATATTATCTATAATTTAAAGAGGGCGAGAACATTTTTTGGACTATAATGCTATATATATAAACTTATTTCAATATGATAATATTTTATATGTAACAAAAACAATTTTTTATATTTATAAGAATACATATAATTATATTTTTGTTTGTAAACATAAATTTACTTTGAATTTAAAACACTTAGATATTTATTATAAATATATGTAATCCTAAACATAAGTAGAATTTATGTAAAAAAAATGTAAATAATGTAAATGAGAATATTAAGAGCAATAAATATAACATTAAGCTTCTAGTTCATAGATTGATACTATGTTTTTATCTTTAACTCTTGTTGCAATGGATGTCGTGATGTAGATATAATGTGTACAAGTTAAAATAAATGGTTAAATATCAATATTTGTTTTATTTCAGTAACTTTACGATGAATAAATAATAAATAATAATGCCCTCAAAATCTCATTATTGGTACGTTTTCCCAGTCTAACGAATTCGTCAAGTTTTACACCTGTTCCCTCTATTAGTTACCGGTTCCCGCTATCTATATATAATTTTTAGTAATAAATACCTACCCTAATCTTAAAAAATAAGTTTAGATTTAACCCCATAGAATGTCTGTTGTATTTATACTTTTAAATGTATTAAATTGCCTGCCTTTTATGAGCTGGAAGCCCTTACATTTGAAAATTATACGCGACATTATGTAAGTAAGTACTGAATTAATGAAACTGACATAACTGAAGTTACCTGACCTGACACATTT